ATGCCTTCATAGGCGCTTGTCACTTGTCCAAAGAAAACAGGAAATGTTGCTAAGTTTGTTAGCTTCATATCTTTTATTTTAAARTGTACACCTAAACAAACAAAATCAGGGATTAGACAGCATGCCATGAATAACTTACAGTGAATTAAGGAATATTTGATATTCCTGAGCGATAAGAATGCTCATAAAATAACTTTGAACTCTTATATGGCGAAAGAGGGTTAAGAAAAAACTTCTAGAGTTTGCTCTAGCTTTAGGAAGSCAGCAACAAATGAGTTATATTATAACATCTAATATTATAAGTAATGCTCATCTGTTGGGTGAAAGAAATGTGTATGAACTGAACTCTAATTAACAACTTACCACTSAGCATATAACCAAGCACTGACAGGAAAGCCACCAACAGAGCAATGTTAGAAATAACACTAACTGGTCCCAACTTTCTGACTCTCCGAATAAAGGCCATTAGAATAAGTGGAACAACAGGAATGAGAATCAAAATGGGAAATATTGGAGCTYCACTGACCATCTTACTAAGATCTGTGCTATTGGTATTGGTATTATTCACATGAAGTGGTTGTTTTACTTCAGGAAATAATGACTTCAAAGTGTTTCCAATAAATATCAAATATCCAATACAGAAGCAGAATTGAGTTCCCAATAATGATATTTCCACCATCACAACACCAGCCTTGCCAAGGGCTATTCTTCCAATGTCACTGTACATGATTTTTCTCTCGACAGTATCTGTGAGTTCTTGTAGCTCTTGTGCAGTAGCGTTAGGGTCATTGTATTTTKGATTGGTCAGCAATGTTCTTTTGACTGCTGCTTTCTTGCATTTGATTATAAGTTGACTACAGTGGTCTGTTATCAAGGCAATCAGTGCAAGTCCTATACAGCCTAACTGTTGAGAAATACAAGAAATACAATTAGAAGATGATTCTTGAGCAGACTTGCATATAAAATCAACTTTTGCCTTGCAGACAACCTGCACCAGGGTTAGCTACATACATGTAGGTCTTTTYAATAATGAACCAAGGGATTAGTGCTAAGTTGAGCTTTGGACAACTTGGCCTTGGTGTAACAAGTACAAGCACCTTGCTATCATCGTCTACATGTAAACTAATAGATCTCATTACAGAATAACTTCAGCCCACACTTGCTATAGTGCATACTCAAATATGGTCCCACTGTCATTTCAGTGGCGGATCCAGGGGGGGTTCCATGGGTTCCTAGGAACCCCCCTCAAGCATAAAAAATAAATAAATGATATATGAAATAAAATGAAAATGCATCGTACAATGAATTTTTGTTCAATACATTCACACTACATTTGCTACAGTTCGAGAGGCACAGTAAAAAAGTTAATTTTAGGAAAATGCGAAAACAAAGAGGATCGAACCCCCCTTTGAAAAATCCTGGATCCGRCACTGCATTTGTCTAGAGATGTAGACTTTTACATGAAACCAAGTGCAGATACTAAGTAAAGWACTGCTTAATAGAGCAAAATATTGTATAAATTGGACAATAAAAAAAAAAAGGAATTAGGAAGTAGGAAGTAGTGCTATTTATAGTTTAGAATTTGAATTCATACTTCTAGCGTTTGAACTCTGCATGACAGTTCTATTTTATAGTCCTGTCCAGTTTCTAACATTGAGTATCATATTTGTTAATAATTGTATATTTACCAGTAATCCACTTTGTTTGAATGCAAATGGCAAACCAATCCAATTCGTACCAATGAAAGATTTAAAAATGTTACCAAAGTCATTGATTTGTCGAAATACGCTGGGTCTGCAAAAAAATGCACATATTATGTATATATTTGAAATAACTATCATGTGTATTGATGCATAATGGCAAAACAATACAGTAAGAAATTTGAATAACAGCTTGAATATAAAATGCCATGATGGAAGAAAAGAAATCCATGATGACGAAATTTCACTCGACAAGAGAGATCTCTGGTAAATGTATGTGATGACAGACAATCTGATTGTGTTGGTACAGAAAGGTCACCACAATTGCCAAATCAAGTCACGAATGAAAAGCGAAAAGCATGAGCTTTAATTTCGATATTGAAACAAAACAAGTCCACATATGTTTAATACGTATGTTGAGCGATAGGTAAAATAAGTTTGTTACGCCGAAGAAGCAAGATATAGGGGAGGAGTTTACATGTATAGATCTTGCTACAATTTTGTGTAGCTGTCTGAAATTAAACTACTGAAACGACTTCAAATCTGTTTAGGCCCATTCATAGGATCTTCTACACAGTTAGAGCCACTTCGGCCTGTAATTTCAGTTTTGTCTAACTTAGCTTACTAACAAGAAATTTTAAACAATTTATCCCAACTGAAGCGGCCTTCTTAATGAAGGAAAGCAGCTTTTGAAAGCTGAAATGACTCTCTGACAACTGATTTTAGTGAAAGTTTTGCAGTCTGAGATCTTCAGCAGTAAACTTAAGTAAGCTTAAGTTATTACACAAAAACATTTCGTTTGTATTCGTCACATCATACCTTATAAAAGTCACTCCTGTAGCAATCGATGGAACACTTTTGTAGCCAGACATCGTAAATCAGCTTTATACAATCATAAACTATAAGTAAAATGCTTTATATATGGTATTTTTGTTTGAAAATGTCTCAATATTTTTAAAAACATCAACTTCAATCTTTCGCAGAAGTTAGGCTTGACTTTTCAAAGCTTTCGCAATGCATGCCGGGATTGTTCTACTTGTTTCCGGTTTAGTTGGACCAATCAGGAAGCAGTATCATGGAATTCCCCTCGTGCTGGAAAATCCCGAGTATTGTACGTGACACATGACAAGTGACGATGTGACTGGAATGCGTGATGTCATTGCTGAACTAGATTTCTCTTGCAATTTCGTTCCTCTTGGGGTGTGTAAACAAACAAAAGGGAAAAAAAAACACGAGGGAGGGGGTGTTGGCTTGTGTTACATCCAAGTTTTTTTTACAAAAGGACGGTCCTTTTGTCACAAAAAAACGGATATAACGCAGGCTAGCAGGGTGGGGAAACAGCTAAAAAAACACAAAATGTCATGATAGAACATCACAGTGAAAAAATCAAGAAGAAATGTCATATCATTTTCATCCCAAAACAACACATTTAGACTATGCGGATGTGACCCAGAACTCAAATGGACATAGTAACTCTTACATTTCAACTTCAAGGAAGTTGTTTGAAAAGATAATTAATTATTTTGCTGTTGTGAATAGTTGAACAAAAAAAAGATAATTTCAAATATTAGAAAACATTTATTTCAATTGCATTGAAAAATTACAAACTCATTTACAAGCAAAAATCTGACAATTGTTGCTGTATTTCATAACATTGTTTAATTTTATTTAAAATGTGACCATGAACCATGGATATTAATACATTCAAATCTTTTAGAACTAAAGCTAACAACCAACATAAACAACAAAGACAAGCTGATAGAATGCATAAAACTGTCAAGTTGTCTGTTAAAAACAATTGTAAAAATTTTCCCACTATTCATGATCAGTGTATTTTTCTTCCATTTCATTTGAGTTATCAAGGGCATAAATTACCACAGTTGACATTTTGGGTGAATGTTCATTGGAGGATCCAGGATAATAAAGGTCACGGGCTAGCTCAAGAGAAAGAATGTTATTCAGAAAAGGGATAGATTAAGAGCTGAAGAAAATGAGATTTCTTTCAGATGGACAGTGCTTTATTATTAGTTGCTACTTGCCCTAATCAACCCCTGGATCCATCCTTGACATTGGTTATTTAACAATGAGAGTCCTTAAGGGACTTTATCCAGATTTACTGTGTACACATTCTGAGGTTAAGTCTTTGCTATGAGTTTGTTTGGTGATGTTGTCTTCATTTTCTGCTATTTCTTTCAAAATTGGTGTTATCTTGTCAACGGATCCTGCCAGCTTCGTAAATACTTCCTTTGTGACATCATCATTTGTTTTGTCACAAAGACTACTTAGAATCTGAGATAATCCGTCTAATTCTGGTAATGTTTGCCTCACACTATTCGCAACTTTTTGAGCTTTAAACTTTGCTTGTAGATTTTTCTCTTTTTCTTCAACAATGCATCCTTCTGCTATTGACCTTAGTTTTTTCTCTTCCTTTATGTAAAGTTCTTGTTGTTGCAGCTGAAGTGTTCTCTCCTGTAGCTGCATATTTAATTCAGATAATTCATTCTGCAAACTTGTAATACTTGGCTTTCGAGTTGAACGCCTTTCTTTCCAAGCAGGGATGGCTTTGATTATTTTCCGTCGTGGCCCTAAGAGATTTATACCAATTTCCACCAGATCATTCTCACTTAAAGTAAGCAGAGTATCAAAATCAACTTCCTCCTCTGTAAAAACAGGTAAATATTTACCTAGATTTATATCGTGAAGAAATTCAGACACCAGTGTGTCAGGAAACTGAGGAGAAAACCCTCCTGATCTTGGTGGTGACATCACTCCATTGCTTTGTAATTCCAATTTCATAAGCCTTTCATTCAAGCTGCTATCTTTAATTGTTCCTCCACTCTGTTCAAAGAATAAATCGTCATAACTACTCCCTTGAGAGTCTGGTAACCGATTATTAGGTGGAATAGTTCTAGGACTAGAAGTACCTGGGCGAACAATTTCTGGACCCTTTAAAAACTGTGTGTTGCTTGTAGTATTGCCAGCAGTAATATGAATACCAAAATGCTTGTTTGAGCTTGATGATTTTTGGTTTACCAACCTTGCAAAGGCTTTGGGCCCAGCTTTGATTCCAGTTCCAGGTGAGCCATAGTCCCAGTTTGAACTTCCTGGACTTGAAGCTAATTCAGGGTGTAAAAAAGAAATGTCAGCCTCACTTCGAACCACTGAATTTCGCTTAGTCCGGTATTCAATGAGATTTACTATTGCCATACTATGGCCATACTGGTAAGCTAACTCAATAGCAGTGAGGCCCTTTGCTGTTTGTGCTTTGATATCTCCTCCTAGATTCCATATTATTTCAAATATTTTCTCATGACCTTCCTTTGCAGCCAGAAGAAGAGGTGTTAATCCATGGATGTTCTCGCTGAAAAAGAAAATCTTATGAGATAAAGAGCTTACTGCTTAATAAGTCACTCATGATGATAATCATCAAATAATCCTCCAAACAGACACAAATACCGGATTATTGCATTAATGTCACCTGGAGCAGGAAACTTAAGTTTTTTCCATTTCCCAAACCACATAAAAAAAATTAGAGGGGCACCCCCATACAGATTTGGCACTAAAACATAGTTTATGATTGGAAAGGATTAAATAGTTTTTAAATAGTCCAAAAAGGATTAAAAAGTGTATTTTTTGAAATATTTACTGATGAAATTGAGCTAGACAGAATCTTTTTCAAAAAGGTATATTATAATCTACATATTTTGCTAAAAAATCAAAAGATCTTGAGTGGTAATTTTACCTTCCAGGTAATGTTYTTTCAACGCTTTGGACTGTCTAAAAAATTTGTTTTCAAAACCACCCCTTATCATTCATAAACAGAAGATCTAAAACATTAACTCTATAATTTCACTAAATGTGTACATGCAGGCTGTATGACAGAAAACCACAGCTGGATGCATAACTGTGATCTGTGATTTTGGAACAAGTTAAATAAATAGTATTTGTGATAACAGGATGAATCCCTGTTGTGTTTGGCCTTGAAATGTAAACTCAATGTTCATGGAAGTACACCAAAGGTAAATATCTTATAAATGATGTCCACTGCAGATCACAAGCTATTCTTTCTTTCATTTTTTTATTTCTCTTGAAAAGCAGGGAAATATTAAAAGGGAATCCACCAGTTTTACACAGAACAAATCACAGAAAAAAATTGGACAGAGTCCTGGAATCTTTGAATATTTACCTGCTCCAACTCAAATTCTGGGAGACTGACAATAAGAGCTTGAGGGGTAAACACTCCCTCTGATCTCTCTTATTATTGGATTTCTAAATTCAAAGATTATCAAGACTGGTAAAAAATCATTGGGTTTAAAAACACCCAATAACAGGCAAAAAAATATGCTGTCATTCTTGGTGCTTTATTGTAATTGAGCTGAAAATCCCACCAACCCATACACACAAAGTGTTCTAGGTTGGTTTAAGTGGCCAAACTCTACTCTCTTTCATTCTAGCACTCTTAATTATTAACAATAATCTCACCTCTTTTTCAAATCTGCCCCAAGCTTAACCAACGTTACAATCGTTTCACTGTGGCGATATAAAGTGGCATATAATAGGGGTGTATAACCCCTTGCATCTGCGGCATTGATATCTGCATGATTATGGAGCAAGAATTCAACCACTTCTTCTTTGCCACAACTTGCAGCCAACATAAGGGCTGTAGCAGAACGGCCACCTGATCTGGCATCTACATCAACATTGCCTTTTTCTAATAGCATTGTTACAATATTGAAATGACCGACATACGATGCATACATTAACGGTGACCATCCACCGGGATTTCTATTGTTTATAGTATTTTTCGACTCGGAGTAAAGGAAATCTCTAACAAAATCGTAGTCACCCAACGAAGACGCTGTCCAAATATCCATTGGGACAATTTCTTCCTCATCTTCGCTCCAAGGGCATACAGAATCTGTATGAAAATCTCCACTCATTTCAAAAATAGCTGGGGTGACTGTGCCGATTACATGCTCAGCAAATACATTCATACTGGTACAACTTCAGGATCAGACGAAAACTTTAAGAAATCCCGTGGATCGACATTTTTGAAAATTTGTTACGGTCGATTGCACCAAGAAGGCGAAGAAATTCCAAGGAAACAAAGACGAATGCCGGAACTTTCTTTAGCTTTTTTTCTCAAACCTTATACGCGTCCGTTTCTTTGGCAACTTTGAATGGACGTTCGATGCTGTAAAGACTGACCAATGACAATGGCCAAAGTCCTCCCTATTGTCTTCGCAATTCTTTGTATTTTGTAAATGTTACACCTGCTTGATAAGTTGGCTAGTGAACTGTAATACTCTGTTCCTTAAAAAGAACGTAAATCTGTTGTAAAAAATCAACGCAACCTTGGCGAAGATCGTCACCTTAACCATCGCGCCATCTTGGATCTCAATGGGGATAGTTCATGTGACGGACGCCGGCACATGACACGTGACACAATCGAATAGTAATCGATTGGAAGAGAATTCGATTTTGATACAAAATGATCAATTATAATGGAAGATGGTTTTGATCGCTATTACATGTAATATTGGATAAATAGTTGATTTTCTGTCTTTCTTTTGTTCAGTTCATAATCCCGTGCAAGAATCTACGTGGGATGCTCGGCGCCCTCTGTGGTTCCGGCCGATATTGACCTTGACTACCAAGAGGAAGAATTGGATTGAAAAGAATGTAAATTTTCCCGCCTCGAAATTATATTGATTTTTTTCGTTTGTTTGTTTAGTTTTGCTTTTTTTTTGCATGGTGTCCATTTACTTTCGTTCCATTCGATTTGATKTCGTTTCCCATTTCTTTATCCCTGAACTCATCAAATCACAATTTTTATTATTCGCCTCGTGCCCACCATGATCAATTCTTATTGACGAGCCACTCGGACAGGTGAAAATCGTTAGTCTGTTTAGTTGGGAAGAATAATTACGTTCAAACAAATATTTCTAACATTTCAGAATTTTTATGAAGTCCGAAATGCATATTATGTCAAAAGTGTGCTCCTGATCCCCACGCGTACCGTATTCTTGTTACACACAAGATTTTTAAAAAAGGTGAGAGCTGGGCACTAGGCATATTGTGCAACAAAGCATGGGAGTTTTTAGACTATAACAATAGTGCTCTTTCATACAAGGTGTCTTCTACAAAAGAAAACAGTGTCTTTTAGGAATCATATAAAAAGGTGCGAGGACGAAAACTCTTCCCATCATGCTTTACTGATCTTTGCTCAACCCTCATTTTTTCAGTTACTTTTCTTTTATTCATTCACTCCTTTAATTGGTCGACTCATTGTTCTATCCAGACTGCAACGGTTAGCTGGTTAGTGAGAATACGACCGGATCGACAGGGATCATTTTCACTTGAGATTAGTGGACGAATGACCGTTGATCACAGCCTTGGCCGGATAGACGGATCCCTAAGGCGTGGCCGAGACTATGGAGATCCACTGTGACCAGGGAACACATTTGTGTCAATAATAAAATTCGATATTTTGACAAAAAAGGTGACACCGAGTGAGTTCCACACAAGTCTGTGCCTCCGTCAAGTTTGCTGCTGCACTCCATAAGATCCTTGCAAACGTCTGCAAAACAGCAATCTATTCACACCTTCTCTGAATCTACTGCTGTGAAGACTATACACAAATGGATTGACGGTAGAATTTATACACACCAACAACACTGTGATGAGGTATGGCAGCGAGGAGTACATGTCTCGGTCCTTGTAGCCGATTAACATGTACATAAATAAGTTTGGCAGCCTGCACGATGCATAGATGATGCTGACGATGATCATCATGCGCGTAACTTTCTTACGCTGGTCAATGATACGTAAGTCCGACGCGGCGGTTGCGCGCACGCGATTCTTCCAGAGCATTCGAATTGTAAGCGTGTAAAACACGCCCATGGCAGCCAATGGGATCACACCGAAGATACAGAAGCAGAAGATTGTGTAAATCTGTCCGTAAGACTTGTGGGACCATATTTCTGCGCAGTGAATGGATCTTGTGAGCTCTTTGTAGCGGACGACAAGGAAAAGAGGGAGGTTAACAGTTATAGCATACACCCAACAGGAGACCAGGATGATTTTAAGACACAGTGACGTTAACAAAGCATTTGATGCCTGTGAGACAACACGGAATCTTTCAATGGCTATGACAGTTAGCGTGAACGTTGATGCTGCGCTTCCTAAAGAGAAAAAAAAAATGTAGCGTGACGTTATATTACACTATACATCAGCGTGACAGTCTCGTTGCAAAACATACCTTCCGCAATACATCTTAATTTTTTATAGACCAAAGAGAAAGAGGATGGCAATTTCCCTTTGGAGTTACCATTCACTTTTCCATGTTCTATATCTTATTCAATCAATTTCTCTCTTAGATACAAATTTCCCCCATTCCCCTACACATGATTTAGAACACGTCTTTTCAGATTTCTTTTTCTTCTGATTATCAAAATAATGATGTGACGTGCCACGAAACCGTCTGTACAATTTGGTAACATATTCACCAAAAACACTGWACGAGTCAGAGTCACCTCTTGAAATACAAACTGTAGAGTTTTTTAGGCTCTACATACAACACCCGAGCTTGCTTACCCATCCAAGTAAAATTCCCCCCAGTGATTAATTTACATAGAAGGTCTGCCCTCAGACCCTTAGAATATCGCAGCTCGTCACGCAATACTATTTGAAATACTGCAAATAACGCAACAATGATGTCACTAATGGCGAGGTTGACGAGCAGGCAGTTCATTGGTGTTCTCATTCGTCGTTGTGACAAAACCACCGCACAAACTAAGATATTGCTCAATACGGTAATTGTAGCCAGCACTGATACTGTTGGAGTCAGCCATTGTCCGTCATAGTCGGTCGTAACTGATGCGTTAGTCGCGTTGAATTGCAGCGACATCGAAGCTTTGTACGTTCAGCTTAATCTGTGCACCTGTGAAAGAAAAGTAGTTCATTGGCAAAAATATAGACATCTATGTATTCATTCTGTCCATTGTTGTCTTATCCATTAAGTTATCCTTTACTCAGTCGATGTTCCACCTAGACCTTTCGTTCGTGCATCAGTTCCTAGAACTCAACATATTTTGCACATTCATTCAACACACACACACAAAAGCAATTCATCCATCCATTTATTTGATTCTCATTAATCTGTTTATGTGTCCATCATAAGTGGTACAGATGAGAGAGTTGAAATACGGTGCTATTTTTCAGCTCTTCACAGTCCCATCCATTCAATCAATCCTTTCAATCATTATTCATTGGCAAGTGGCAAATGCAATGAGAGTTCCTGTAATTCGCGAGAGAATGTCACGACTGACTAATTTTGTTCTCTTGTCACGTTGCTGTCATGTCGAGTTTGTGCAATCTAGGAGCCTTAATGGTGTTTACCTTGTAATATTGTCCTTAACACTTATTTAACACCGATCGTTATCTATCAAATACATGCCCTTATCCAAAACATTATTCATCACATGTCGAACTATATAATCTTCAGCTTTAAGATGTAAGTAATTGAATAATATGCGAAGCAGAACCCAGTTCTTCATCAACTTTGGGATATTGCGAATTACCAAATTATTTTAGCAACACTGATTACTCTTCATCTGACTTCATTTCCAATGTTTCACATTCACGATTTCATTTTTAAGACTTTTAAATCCTCAAACATCTTCACTCGATTTTAATGGTGTAATTAAAGGCTTCAGTATCTGAATAAGGGCCGAATCGGAGACTATATTAGTTTACAAAAGTATATAGGTTTGCTGTTTTGAAGTTTCCCGGAAGAACGAGCCGGGATCAAACTCTGACTATGACCCATTTAATAACCAAGAAAGTGTGTTAAAAGATTGATAGAATTTGTATTTGAACATTACCTTGTTTTCAGTGAATCTTAACTCCTCAGTTTATTTCAACGMACGGCTTCCAGGAATGTGATAGTGAGCATAGCTTGAATGGTTTTCCCTCTAGCTGAGATGAGCAAAATCTTGCTGAAACAAATATAATATACTGATTGCGTGACGGATGAAATTGAGAACCGATCGGAAGTGAGTGCGCAAATACACCTGATGACAAAATGACACCTTTCTTCTCCTTATATATCCTTTTCGTTTCTTTCGTTTTTCCTTTCTTCGTTTTGCGTGTGCTTATCAGTTGTTTCGATCAATTCTCTGTTTTTCATTTCTTGCTGTAAGTTCAAATAAAAGGAGTTTCAGTTTATTTGTTCACGATATTTTCTTTATCTTTTTATTTTCCATTGTTAATTCATTTTATCAACCACTTTTTTACCCATGAGTTTGCAATTCACTACACCAGTTTTATTTCTTTTTTTGCTCGGTTCTTTGCACCTTGTACTAAAGTCACATTAATTGTTACCTGTGCATATATTTGCTTCAATTTTCACTCAATTCATGAAAAATTCAGTTCTGTGTAAATGTTTGCTTTCTATTGAACACGTTTAAGAACGTGCACCCACCGGCGTTTAGCAGGACACTTTTTTTTTAGTAAAGACTCGGCCACAGTTAATTATATCATGATTTTTAAAAGACCTTTTCCATTCCCGCATCTTTATAAGGCATAAGGCGTAATAGTATTAAAACTGATTTGAAAATTACATTTCTAAAAATAACAATTGTCCAGTTGTAATTCCGGTTTGAATTGCTGAGTCACTTCATGTAATTTGCCATCTCTCAAAACACTCAAAGTCCAATAATTCAGTCTTTCTATATATGTCCCATGCCACTGGTGAGTGCCTTGAGTGTTTATCTTATATTTTTTAAGCATCTAACTATGTTCCGATGTAATAACTTCACTAGCTCACACGTCGGCGATATCAGAACCCGTTTATTAAACTAAAACGTCCACAAAGCACGTACAACGACAGCTGCTCACATGCAAAGCAGGAGTGATCTATAATTATCTATAACGCAACGAGGAAGTTACCTTAAAGGGACTCTTACAAAAGCGCGAACAACAACGATCGCTCTTATTTTGTTCCGTCGACACTGAAGACGACATGGAAAATACTTTACTTTCTGAAATTGTTCTTGCTACAGTTTTTAGTCTTATTGTCCTGGTTGGCATTCTCGGTAACACGATAGTCTGTATCGTGATCATGAGGAAACGCTTCAGGATTCAATTCACCCACGGCAAAACGGCAATGGACTACCTGTTGGTCAACTTAGCAGTCTCAGACATTCTATCTGCAGTGTTTGTAATACCACGTTATATTGTAATCCATGCATACCGGCACCCACGGGATCTACCGGGGGATATCCTATGCCGGGTTGTTACCGGAGGGTCGTTGATTTGGGTCGGTGGCGCCGCGTCGGTTTTTACCTTGTTGGTAATCGCCGTTGATCGTTATCACGCGGTAGTTCAACCCCATAGCCTTCGACATCGTATTGCGTTAAAACGAATTCCCTGTGTGGTTATTTCATGCTGGATTACATCACTTGTTCTCTGTATACCTCTATTCTTCGTTATGACATACGACAAGAAGCAGGACTTTTGCACCGAATCCTGGCCTGACACTCTACTCCCTAAGGCTTATGGGATCGTTTGGCTGCTATACGGGGGATTACCCATACCTATCATGGGGTACTTTTACTTCAAGATTATACAAGTGTTATGGTTCGAGCGTCAAGCTGTAATCAAAACTCAACAGCAAGCTAAATCCTCGATGGTTTTATTAACACGACGAAAGGCTTGTAAACTGTCAATTACCGTAACTGTTGCTTATTCAATATGCTGGCTACCTATCCTAGTGCTTTATATATTAGCAACTATTACACCACCCAGAATAGAGTATGGCTCTCCAGAGTATAAAATCTCTGTAGCTATGGCCTGTCTGAACAGCAGCGTCAATCCCTTTGTCTACGCGTTACAAAGTCAGAGGTTTCGTAGATGTGTCAAAGGATTGCTTCGATGTCAACAACAAATGAGTTGATTATGATGATCAGAGAAACACATGCGATCACGATATTACATGAACTTTATCGCATGTTTATAACCGAGTAAAACCTGCCGAAAAAGTGGCGTAATCGAAGTTTAATTAAACAGGAAAGCCATCTTCATCGATTCTCCGTAATTGCAGTACAAATATGGCATCGCATGATTGTCAAAAGGTTATATTAACAGGTTACGTCAAATAAACATCAGGGGTTAAAAGACATGTACACGCCATAACTTTGCCCGGACTATAAGGGGCACGTCCTCATAGGAAAATCATGTGACTAACTTGCTATATCTTGCTTTTGAAGGTAACGCGGGTATAATTGCACGAAGTACATGCGGCGAAAATGTTAAGAATCCTTACTTCCGGAATATAGACAGTTTAAAAATATATTTGTCAAAATTTTTGTTCCTTATTCACGGCCTCTGTGATTGTACTAAGAATTACTTTGTAATAATATATCAAAAAATTAGAAGRACTGATAACAATTATTTATATTATTTATATTTGTAATAATAAAAACCGATACAAATTATCAAAACTGTGATAGATACAACTGGAAAATTGCTCTGTTTTGTCAATGTTGTAGTGAACGATTGCGTCACGAATTCGGAGCATTTCCGAGTTGTTAGTGGTACAAAAGGGTGGCTAATATATAAATCATACATGTCATATTTTTATTTATACATTGTAATTTTATTTCTATGATTCGAGTTGTATTCTCGTTTATCTATTGGCTTTACGATATATGAACCTGAGTCATCCTCGGGAACCCAGGGGTAATCTTCTGTCGTTCGTTCCTCACCCCTGGGTTCCCGAGGATGAACCTGAGTAAGCGCACGAGCGAATTATTGAAATGACACACTATTATCCTCCTCCCCAGACTGATAGCAGGTGCAACAGCCCTCTTCAACGAACATGTTGATAAAAGCTAAGAGCTTTAATGCTTARGTGACACTAAACAGATAGCAACAAAACACATATTTAAAAATTTATATGATTGTGGCATAATTTCATTTTGTATATGTCAAGACAAATGAATCTGAACGTCAGGAAGTCCTCAAAGACGTGACTGAATGGTCAAAACAACGTAAAATTACCTGGTCAAAGAGATAAGAGATAGAGACTGCTCTTGATCTACGCAGTAATCGTTAGTAATCTTTGCTATACTTTATTAAAGTGGTATGTATTTATATTGTGAATCTTTGTTTTTTTATACTTGTGATAAATAAATATTGTTAATATGAGCACGTGGTGGACKGTTCACGGAGTTCCACTCAGATTAGCCGTGTTATTGAGAGCGTAGTTCTCTCATGTCTATGTCTAGTTTTTGACGCGAATTATCGTTCGTCATATTACGGGTTATTTTCTCCGACTGGAGGGGAAACTCGGCATGACAGCTATTTTTAGTTTGGATGATGCGTTTCAAAAACATACCTACGAGCAGGGACTGGGAACTAAGTACTCAGATCTGTCAGATGACGTCATAAGATCAGGCATCAGTTTGTTTAAGGCCAGAGATCAGCCTTTTAGCCTTTTACCCTAGAAATCTCAACCAAAGTCTTATATATAGCTATCGGAAACGTTTTACGAGGATCAGCATGAATCAAAATTCTGCTTATTTTGGGTTATTCATTCATCTTCTATTTTTTGTTGTTGTTGTTTTTCTTACTTCACGGATACTCAAAAGCGAAGATTATATCAGCCCAAATGATGACGGCAATGTCAATTAAAATAAAACTGATTTATTGTAGTTTTTATCATCGACGATAATGACGTTATAATTCTGTTATGATGAGTAATTCACTATTTTGAGTCAAGCAGGTTTATCGCTTCCTAATTAGATGGAAGTAAAATATCAGATAATCATCAGTGTTTGAGATCGAAATGACGTCAAACAATCTAAAATGTCTTCACGCGCTTCCCTAGCCAAAACAAAGAGATAAAATATAGTTCGAAACAGTTCGAAAAGTTCACTCCGGTAGACAAAGCTGTGGGCTTCCTGTGTTAATCGACAAGCGTATTACTCAGGAGACTCAGGAGAATGCTGTGCGTCTAATGGCGCTTATAAGACCGTTTAATGCTTTGTAGCCGAATGGAGTGAAATCCGGCGTATGCAATCTCATATCAATATCACCAGTCAGGTAATGCATGATTCACAAATACTTAATTTAGATTGGTTTGTATTTGAATTATTTATTCTCATGATTATCCATATCCTTTGACAGTGCAAGCAAAGAGAGTTTTTGGTTGTTTTTGGGACTCTCACAGAGCACTATGATTCACAAATTGGTTTCTTTTAATCCTAAATATTGATTCAATCTTAACATCAATTATTTTTATTGTTTGACCTCATTTTTATGATGTTTTATATGCAAATTATTGACCACGTTTCAGAAGCTGTTTTGATTGCTGTTTCATAATTATTGACAACTGTAGTTTCTTGTCAGTGACCTGCAAGGTCAGGTAACATTGTTCTTTTACTTCTCCGCGGTTTGATTCAAGAGCTTTACTTAAGCTCCTATTGGGCTCAATACACGAGTTRTAAAGATCCAAAATATTCTATTGATTCCCTACCTTCGTCTCCCAATGTGTTTACACTTTAATACGAATAGTTTCAACTCAAAGTAGAAGTGAAACTCCTGGTATAAAACTTTTAGTCTTCGAACATTATTTAGTTGTAGCGCGTGACGCCGGGTTGCATCAACCCTCTATACTAGTTGTGTGCTTGGTGTGCTGGTGTACGTGTTGTCGACGTTTTCAAAGTGTTAGCTTAATTCTGATCAATATCAGGTATTTCTATTGGTTTGAACAACTGTTTGACAGGAAGGACACGGAGTAATCAGCTAAACGTACTCGCATGCTGCCTTCTTACGTCGCAATCACCTAAATTTAAAAAACGTCATCATCGTCATCAATATCATCATCAACATCGGTAATATCATCAACAACAACCTTGTCAAAGAATGAATTTTAAGTTCAAGATTATATTTACAKATTTTTTATTATACATATAACAGCTATTATCTTCTCTGTTTAACTGAGAAGTTTATTATCATTTGTAAACCGCACTTATGCTCAATGAACAAAAGAAACGAGTTAGTTTCCGCGTGCACAATAAACACAAATCATTACAATGCGACACGCATGATATAAATACTGTATAAACTTACATCAAGTTCATTAAACTCCTGAAGATTGAGGCAAACAGGCCTGTAGAGGTTTGACTGGTAATGTTTATTCATAAACATTCTATGTAACAGCTATTATAAATATTTTTGTTAACAGGGTCACAAAGGAAATAAACTTTAAATCATATTGGTACCAGCAGGAGCCAATCGACATCCAAARGAAGCAACAACCCAATCGATACCGAAAGGGCATCAACTGGTAACCCACTCAATACCCAAAGGTGACGAGCAGTACCCCCAATCAATAAACCAAAGGAAAGACGAAGTAACCGAGCCAGACATGAACAACCAYAATATATCATCAAGTAACGTCACGCATTCCTTAACACCAACCGAGATTGCTTTGACAGCCACATTCTCGGTCCTCGTTATKGTCAATTTGGTTAGCAACAGTCTAGTGTTTCTGGTAGTACTCAGACATCGACAGATGAGAACGTTGATGAACTATCTCCTGTTAAACCTTGCTGTGTCTGACATCATGGTCGCTGTGTTTATAGCCCCTCAGTATGTGTTACGTCATTTTTTTCGCCATCCAGAAGGCACTGCGGGAGATCTTCTATGCAAATTAGTTACAGGGGGGAACTTTATTTGGACAGGTAAGCATAACTAGAACCATTAGGTCTGTTTTTGCATGATATGATGTAATGAGAACTGTATTTAATGACGTCATATGTTTGCGTGATGCATTATGGGAATGCAAAATTTTAACTTGTGTATCAGGCCGTTTCGTAAACAGTGTTAATTTATGATTTTGAAAAAAATCTTCGTTGTCTGTAGTTTTTATACAAGACAACTTGATTCACGATATTACATATTCTGGTTCAATGACCAAAGTGTTCGGTTCAACGCTATGTCCGTGTTCACTGAACCCGAGAATGGTTCGAGTCGTAAACACTTGTATCAATACCAGGATGCACTTCGCGAAAACAAAAATCACGTGATCAGTACAAAGAACCATTTACAGACAGTTCTTTCATTCTCATTGTCTATGAATGTATATTTATATATGATTTTGATGTACACAGGCGGTGCTGCGTCGGCTTTCACATTGGTTGCTATCGCTATTGAGCGTTACTACGCAGTCGCCAAGCCACAGCTAAAGCGGGAGATAACGCCCTGGCGTTTAAAAGCCATTATAATCAGCTCTTGGGTATATGCCATCGTGTTCAATATTCCCCTCTTTTTCGTCATCAAATACAAGCAAGTCATTAATGATTTCCGCTGCCCAGAAGTCTGGCCTAAAGTAATCCTTGCTAAGGTGTATACCGTGGGCGCGTTTTTCGTATTTGGTGCCA